GAGAGATTTTTTACATGGAAATTCTATAGTCAATTGTCAACGAGGGATTACCTTGGTACTTATTTATTTACACTCTGTATACAGGATGACCGATGAGTCGCCGACCACTCGAGAAGTGATAGAGGGTCTCATTTGCAACAAGGAAACAAAATGGTAGCGATTTTTGCAAATCATTCATTTTTTCAACATTTTTCAATTTGTAAATAAATTTAATGATATAAAACTATTTAAATAACTTTTATAATTCATAGCTATATAAATCAAGAACGACTTTGGCAAAAAACAGGTTTTTGTAAACAACTTAAATGATTGTTTTGTTGAAATTCCTCCTATTTGATAATTCAATTTTGTTGTCAGAATCGAATATCAAGTTCTTCAAATCAAATACCACATCTAGAAAATATATATTTATGAAGACGATTTTTTTGTTTGAAGTTTTTAATACTTTTCTTTTTGTGACGTAGTAATTATAAGAATCAGAAAATTAAAGACATATTTTTTTTTGTTGCAAATAATTCCCTTGTCTGTCACCTTCTTTCGTTTAATCCTAACTAATTAAGTCATAAGACATCCCGTGCATTTATATGTACAAATTCCATTTGAGTAAGTGGTTGTCATTCTCGATACTTTTTACTTGTGCTGTTAATTTAGATAGTAACCTTATCTACGATGATGAATTTCTAGTGATTTTATCAAAAAGTTCTAACGATTGCCAAAATCTAAGGTCAAAGTAAGGTTGAGGTCAATGTTTGCAAGCGAATCTTTAACCTGAATCAAAACGAAAGCGGGCGTCAACCAATGAAACTGCCAATATGTCATGGATAAAATAACGTGGTATAATATAATGAGTTAAGAGCAACCCATTTACTTTATAATTTTTAGACCAGTCTAAATAAATGATCTGGCTTTACATTTCCAATTTTTGACAAAATGACTGATCAATATTGTATCAAATTTAATATTGGTTTCAGTAAATTGTCTAAGACTGATTTTAAGTAAATTTAGTGCATAATTTAACAATGTGACCTCTGTAACGCAAAAATATTTTTTATATAAAATTTATTGCATATAAATATCTGAAATTTTAACGTGCCAGTCATAAGATTTAATATCAATTTTAATGTAAACATGAGAATATCTTGAGCGATTCTATTTTTTTTTCTCAAAAAAAATATTAAACGTGCACGAAAACCAGGTTTTTACTTCCCAACATCTGATTGTGAGCTTCATTTCTATTATATTTTCCGTAATGCTTGGACGAATGGTGATAACCATATAAGAGATATCTGATATTTTCCAGGAAGTTGCGAACGACGATCTCTATTTCTGTGGAAAAGATCGCTTTGATTTAATTGGAAAATTAGACCATTTTGGAGAACATTTATTAAAATTACCATTAGAAAACAATTCAGTGAAGTAATTTAATTAAAAAACTCTTGAACTTTTTGCTGGAAATACATTTAATATACAGTGTATTAATTATAGTAGTTTATAGAAAAAAATCAGTGTCGTAGAAATATTGTATTCTGCTAGAGGCGACAGGGGAGGGGAAAAAATACATAATTTTACGCCATTAATTTTTTTTCTAAAAATACAATTTTGTATTCAATGTGTAATTTTTGTGCTACACAAAAGCTCTTTATATACATTTTTTTTAATTTTAGATTCATTAAACTGCTCGATAACAGCAGTACAAGCTGAAAAAGTACCTATTAATAACTCGAGAATAAAATAAAGCATCAGTGATCTAATTTCCAAAATAGACAGTGGCGTTAAATTCCTGGGGTTTTTAGTGATAACGACTCCTCGTATATACAGGGTGACACCCAACGAATATTACATACTGCAAGGGTATAATCTAGAACCCAAATGGTGTCGATTTAACCAAACTTGCTTAAACGAAAAATGTCGCAAAGAAATGTTATAGGGTGTTAAAGTTTCTTTTTTATTTCTTGTTTTCTCCTTAACTCAGAACCCAGTTAACCAATTTGGGCAAAATTTGCCGTTGCTTAGTTTCTTTTCATGAAATATGTAGTGAGTGATTATGTTCCGATGAGGTTAATTCATACAGGGCGTTCATTTTACTACAACCCTTTGTGAATATTGTTCTGTAACTTTTTTGTACGTCTACATTTTTACATGCAACTATCAGAAATAGGTAGAGAATTTTATTCTGTACAAAAAATGTATACGTATCAAAAGTCGAAATTATGTTCGGTATGAAAATATTACAGAAAATATTTATTGACACATACCCCATATTTTTTGGAAATAACTACGTATCCATAATAAACATTATAAATAACATACATAAACTGAAAGGTGGCAATAATAAAACGTCTACTAATTTATAATAAATGTTCTACGTGCTCCCCATTTCATTAAACATTTTATGAAACTATTGAGAATAGGATTACATATACGTTCGTTTAACTTGTCGTACGGCGTCTTTTATTCTATCCCAAAGTTCTTCTCCCCTATTTGGTGTTACAGAGTTGTAAACAATTCCTTTCAAATGACCCAAAAAGTAAAAGTCTAACGGATTAAAATCCGGATAGCGTGAAAGCCTCGGTTAAAGCCAAGGAAATTCACTACCTCGACCAATCCAACGGTTTAGAAATATGATTTCTCACCAATGGCTGAAATGAGCAGAGGCACCTTCGTGCATGAACCGCATTTGTCGTCTAATATTAATGGGCAGTTCTTCGAGAGCCCCAGGAAGTTCTTCCCGAAGGAATTCCAAATAATTTTGGCCGCTGAACCTTGCAGGTAGAGCGATAGGTCCCAAAATAAAATTTCTTATAATCCCGCACCAGGCGTTAACTGAAAATTCGTGTTGGAAGTGATGCTCTTTTATATTGCGTGTGGATTTTCTCCGCTCCACACGTGAGAGTTTTTTCAATTAAAAAGACTTCTACGGGTAAAAACAGCTTCATCTTATGTAACTGGAGAAATAGTTCGGTAAATGTTAATCTCAGCGGACGGTCTGGTTCAAGCAAATTTTTTATAGGGACGAATACTAATTTCGATATTTTCTTCTACTCTTTCTAGAATTTGTTCTTCGTTTTGTACCTTTCTTTAAACGTAACTTCCATTTCGTGAATGAGACCGAAAGTTTCCAGTTTCACCTAATCTGGTGAATAAAGAAGCAAACAATGTATGAGAATTGAGAAGGCTGTCTGCGATTCGGATAAAGTTCTTCATATGTTCTCTTAGCAGCGCGTCCATTAAAATGTTCCTGTACATATACCACTATCAAGTCTCTCATTTCATAATTCGTAAATTCATTGTGACAAGGTATGTGTCAGAAACAAACTTTTGTAAAATACAAATTTGACAGTTACATTTGAAATTGTCATGTTGTTATGGATACGTAGTTATTTACAAAAAATATGGGGTATGTGTTAAGCATAATTTCGACTTTTGATAGGTTTACATTTTTTGTGTAGAATAAAGTTCTCTACCTATTTCTGATAGTTGCGTGTAAAAATTTTAATGTACAAAAAAGGTACAGAAGAATATTCACAAAGGGTTGTAGTAAAATAAATGCCCTGTATGATTTAACCTAATAGGATCATAATCGCTGCATCGTGAAGAGAAACTAAGCAACCGCAAATTTTGCTCTAATCGGTTAACTGGGTTCTGAGTTAAGGAGAAAACAAGAAATAAAAAAAGAAACTTTAACACCCTTTAACACTTTTTTTGTGACATTTTTCGTTTAAGCAAGTTCGGTTAAATCAACACCATTTGGGTGCTAGATTATGCCGTTGAAGTATGTAACATTCGTTAGGTGGCACCCTGAATAAATTCAGTGAATATTTACATTTAATAAGATAATTTATTAGCCACTCTACGTTAAACGTCTTTCGTCTTTAGATATATCTTAGAAAATATTATTGTTTTTCTGATTTATAAATGCTTTATCTTGAAAACGCAGCATTTCGGATGTCCTTTCATAAGACTTTTTGTTTTCATTTTGACTACTTAGCGAATTTCAATTTGAAGTTTCGACGATTAATTCGGAAACAGTCTGTATGTCAAGGACAAACCAAGAATATTTCATTTAAACAATGAGTAAACCTTGCACACAGCAAGATATTCGTTATTTGAAGGATGATTAAACACTAAATATTTGTTCTGCCGGGGAAAGTCTGCATACAGCCTACAGTTATCACAGTTATTACGGAAATGCAATCATCTCAACTATAAAAAGAGCAGATATGTAGACAATAAAGCATAGCGTTAATTTTAAAGCCATTATATTTTTACTTGGTTAATGTAACATTTACTTGTATGCTATTTGATTTAGAGTAGATAGTACTTCATAAAATTTATTATAGTAAATAATACAGACATATTTAGTACCTAATTTGTATTTTCTTTCCTAATGCAATCTGAAATTTCATTTTATTGTTTTATAATGGGTTTTACGGGCTTGACACTTTTTAACGTAATCTCTATGTTAAAAATTCTCCATCTTTCGTTAATGATGTAATTTCTTTAATTGCCCTAGTGTAGCCCAGCAATTGTTGTTGCTGAACCGAATGAAACAAGGACTGAAAATACAGTGTGTCGCAATAAGGTCTGTAAAATATGCCTCAAAAAAATAGAAAATATTGCAGAGAAGTGACAATTTCTATTTACTAATTGACCTGTTTCAGCGATTTTTTAAAATCTGAACTGCAAAAAAATATGAATTTTGTTCCATCATTTGGGGACACGCATTGCATGCTTCTTCTTCACACTAGGCTACGTGAGAATCGTTAAGATGACACCTTTTAATAAGAATTACCTATCTTCTATTATTTACGTAGTAAACACTTCAAATGATCAATAAATTGAATGTAACAATTATCTGTTTGTATGGAAAAGCTATATCCATAGGTAATTGAAGATACAGGTATTTATATTGTTCTCATAAATGAAAGTAGGTACTACAAATATGGGTAAAAAGTGTAAATAAAATATATATTCACATAGAAACACATTTTTAAACTTACTTTTATTTCTTTTAACTTTAGGACCTTCTTCGGTACTCCGTCCGTAAATCGCTGGTTTCGTCGAATTCCCGTCTGCCTCTGTTTTTTCCAGTAACGGTTCGTTAGCGCTGGGTTTGGTAACATCTTCGTTCGACATTGTTTCGATTCTTTCAATTTAAATGTTACTCGTAACTTGGAATAATAATGACAAAGAAAACGGATATATTAACAACACGTGCGTTTGGCTAACTGCAAACTGAACGAACAGCTGATATGTAAATAAAAACTTATCATTGTCACACTGGCAAGACTATTGGCCCTGGAAGAATGTCGTTTTAGTTGGTCACACACTTTACCACATACACCGTGCGTAAATCCACAATTTGTTTATTTGATAGCCTGTGCACTGAGGAATATTGTTGGTCGCCTAGTTTTTTAACAGATCGCACAAACACTACCGATTATCATGCACATGCCAGACCGAAGGTCTCAATTGGAGTATTTATTTGCTGGTTAAAAGTGTTTCTCGGCATATTTGTTACCTTTTACGTATGTATTTACCACACAGACGAGTTTTTAAACTGATATTTAAACAAATCATATCTTATCTGTCGTTCATTTATATTCATTGAATAATAACATGTTTATCGTATGATAACTAATAGCAGTAATAACTCACGAAGTGCGGGTATTTAATTTTATTCCTAAATCACACTTCGTATGTGTTCGTGGAAATATTGATGTGGGAATAAACGTTTGACGAGTGTGTGATATTATTCTGTGTAATTAATTTGCTCGTGTTTATTTTGTCATTCAATTAGTGTGTGTTAAAGATCATATGTGGACTATATAGGGATTCTTTCATTGTCGTTTCATCACGAATCCTCAAACAATATCCGTTTGAGCTAATGCCCCACATACATTCTTCCACATAGGCATCAGTGCCGTGCACCCATTATTGTGATAGGAGTATTGAAACATTGAAATAAACAATGGCCTGAAATTTCCATTTTCCAATTTTAATTTAATTGTAACGCTGGAAAAAATACGATATTTTAATTCTTAAGAGGAGCGAGATATACGTCAAACTTATACATTAATTAATTTGAAGAATATCTGCCTGTGCGTCATATGAAAATTGCATGTTCTACTTAAAATTTTCATCAAAAGTTTTTTCAACATATTCTGCACTATGGAATTTCCTAATTTAACAGACCATGTTATTTCTTAAGATAATCGAGATCACCAATTCGAAAAACAGGCACCAATAAAACGTAGAAACGTCGTAAAATAAATATTTAGTAACAATGATTTTCATGTAATTAAATCGCAAGCTACAATTCTTTTTTCGTACATCTTTCGTTTTAATGTCGACTTTATTTAAACATGAAGTTCTAAAATGTTTATACTTTTTAAATAGAAACGACACAAATTTCGTTTGGTGTAATGTTGGATGTTTTGATTTCAAAGCAATCTCTGTAAAACAGAAAGTTTTTTTAAGACTTGATTATAAAAATAAAATGAAAATCTTCAGAATTAATTTCAAAACGAAAAAATATAGATCAAAGTTCTCTTCGGCATATTATGCACTTTTGCCTTGATTTGTGTTTCTTAAGATAACCGAGATAAGTTTTTAAATGTTTATAATTTTCTGGATGGAAACTTAAAATTTCGTATAGAGAAATAATGAATATTTTGTTTTCAAAGCACTTTTTATAAAAGTAGACCATTTTTTAAGAGGTCCATTTGTTTTGGTTTTTAATTAAAAACATTACAACGAAAATCTAAATTTTCAGTTTTAATTTCAAAACCCAAAAAAATCTGCAGTTATTTTCGGCATATTATAAATTTCCCAACTTTGTCTTAATTTGACCGACCTTGTATTTCTTAAGATAACACAGGCTCCCTGAATGTACAGTATAGGTAAAATCTTAAAAACGCAATGATTTTTATGTAATTATATCTCAAGTTGTGATATTCTTTTTTCGTTATTATTAATTTATTATTAATTAAGTTTTTAAATGTTTATATTTATTTAGATAACACGAATGCAGTCATGGTTCCTAGTTTATCTCAAATAGTGAAGAAGTACCTAGTGATATGACTAACAAATAACGTGCGTTCAAATAAAAACGTGGTCAAGTTGGTTATGAAAATTTGGACGTAGGGCGTAGCGTATAGCAAATGAACTTAAACGTCATCTGTCAAAGCGCTATATCGCCGCTATCAATTTGAATATTTTCGTTTTAAAAAGCGTTTAAAATGGTGTTTTCTCAAGGACAAAAAGTGTTTATCATAGAGTCCTACTTTAGAAATGGACGTAAGATTGATGGAATATGGAAGTATTCTATTGAGGAATGTTTCATAGAATTTCAAAATCAATTTCCCGGCGTTGTTGAGTACAAAATTATTACCATAATGCGAATATTTTTTGCTTTTTGTCCCTCATTACCTTTGCAATAAATTATTTTGAAATATTTGGCTATTAGAGAGAGAAATTGAGGAAAAATTATACCCAAATATACAGGGTGACAAAAAATTATGTAACAAATTTTGAGGGTTGGTAATACTCGTCAAAATGAAAAAAAAAGCTCCCATGATTATAAAGGGTGTTTTAATATTCTGGGCACATAAAACTAACACAGATTTTTCGTCTAAGGCGGGCGTTTTAATGGGTAATTTTCAGTAAATTTACAGAAGTCTTTTGACGAGGGTTTTAGAAAATCTACGCAAGTTAGAAACAATATCTCTTCACTGCACCAGTTACTATACATATGTTTTCTTCAGCGTGTAAGAATAACGATAAAAGCATATTTTTACTTCTTATGTTTATCATTACATTTCCTGAACTTTTGAATATTCAGAAAATCGCGTACGGTACTAAAAACATAATCACAACCCATAGAATGAATAAATAAGGAGAAAAAAGGAATGTAATTTCTGCAACTTTAGTCCTGAATTCAAATAAAAATGAGAGATCAAACTTTAGCAAAGTAATAATAAAGCGCCCAAAACATTTTAAAATAAAATTTCTTTGAAATATGTACCTTGTTTAAGTACGAGTTGTAAATGCATATTTTAAATATAACTTACTGTTTAGATTTGTAAAATAAATAATTATTGAGTAGATAAACCTACAGACAAAATGTAGCATAACATGCAATAACTTTTAAATATTAGATTGCTTGTCTAGAGATTGGACATAAACGTAGGTATAATTATTTTCTTAGAACTTTAATTCAAACTTCAAACATAACATATAACAAGATGTTGTTTTTCCATTTTACATACCTAACTAATCAAATATTAACCAGCAAATATATTTAAAAATTAATTTATTTGGCATATGACATTAATGGATAATAGCCAATCGGATGAGCATAGCAAAATTACACCAAATCTGCATAATTCCCTGTATTGTATTTCAGTTGTGTGAAACGGGCTGGAGACTGGAGACACCACGATGTCATAGTGCGGGTTTTTCAAGCAATCAATAATTTAGTTTCATCTTCTGATAAAATTCAAAAAAATGCTTAGACAAACATTATTTAAATATAAAAATAGGGGGTCATACCCATTATCATCCTTATTTTCCAGGTTAAGATTCTTACAGATGTAACAAACCCGACTCGAATAACTTTATTATTCTATTTTGTTCGCTAACCGTAAAAATTAAATAACGATAGAATAGGTTTTTTTTTCAGATAAGTATCTAGGTAGCACAATATATGTAGACTAGATATGATTATCCTGTGGGATTTTTTACCCTAGACTAAGAAAGGATGAGGATGTGGCGCCACCACAAAATAAAGCTGGTTTGGCACCAAACGAGAGTCAACTTTTGTAAGTAGGGTTGCCAACATCTGTTTTCTTATTTCAGGACAAGGTAGTAATTATACATTCAGGACAAGGGCTAAAAATTAAGGAGATTTTTTATTTGTCTTATGAGTTAAACAGAACTGTATATTTAAAAAAACATTAATGCAAAAAAAATATTTTATTCTTTATTGTTTTAGAACTATCTACTACAAAATAGGCAATAAACGTTAAACAATACAAATAAAACAAAAAAATACGTTCTTTGGTTAAGTTGAGATCAATAAAAATTAAAATAACAGAAATTTAAGAAATTAAATAAGACAAAGATATTCTACTTTATGATGTCAAATTCTTAATTACGCAGTTTACTTTTTTAAGTTAAATGCAAACGCTATCTACGCAAAGTTGAGAATCCAGCAGTTCTAGTGAGGACGCGCTTGCCGAATTGTGCAAAAGTCTTATACATTTTGGAAAAATATATGAAGGTGTAAAATTAAGGACATTTGGCGTCCTGTAAAAAATTTTGGCAGGACGCAGAACAATTGATGAATAATTAGTTCAAATGATGAGTGTAACCCTAAAATTCAGAACGGTTGGCAACCCTATTCGTAAAGGGAATAAAGAAATTTCAGTGGAAAATGAATATTTGATATATTAAAAGTATTAATTTTTATGTAAAAGTAACTATTAATAATACAATTTGTATAAATTTAATATAATAGTAATAGTAAATTAGATCTATTTAAAATAAGATAGTTAAACTTTTTTAAATATTTTTAAACAATTTGAAATCGGTAGTACCATGGTAATATGTAAAAGTATATAGATATATAAATATAAAATGAAACATGTAACCTTCCAGTTGGTTTGATGGTTCCAGATGGTTTGATTTGAGATGCGTGTGTAACGATACGGCTATACTGATGAATCGAGACATAGAGGCTAGAGACACGAGCAACAGCTATGCCTGTACGTCGTCGTACCACTATGGCCGTGCAGATGCTCATTGCTTATGCCTCATCTAGTCTATCTGAATCTAAAGTCTGGATTCACAACTATGGCCATGGCCGTATCCTAAAGTGATATTTTTGGAGTATTTGGTATATATCTACCACCCCTAAAAGAAGAGGCTATTCTTAAGACGGTGTCAAACTCTAAAAGGAAATGTGTATACTACCTACCATCCTAAAGTGCCTAATGAATGGTGGATGTTAAAGAAGTCATTGTTTTCCTAACGTTAAAAAAATCTTTCATTAATCTTTCTTGTACTTGGTGTAATGAAAACTAATTAATTATTAATTAACTTTAACCCCTTGATATATGTATAAATATAGGTACTACATATATCATTAGATTATAATTACGTTTCAAATATTAAAATTTTTGGGAAATGTTTTTTGTTATATTCTAAGCACAAAATTAGCATGTATACTTATGTAATAAATGAATATTAACTTACTTTATGCTTTATTGTGAAATAGATTGTAGTTGCGAAGTTAATTATAATTCATGCCCCAAATACCACATTCCTTTGCTTTTATATGTATTTAATATGTATAATAGCCCTTATAATACTTTTTTTTAACTAAAAACTATGTCATTGTTTTGTTCCCAGAGTTAGTTTTGCTTGACCTTTCACTAGTGCTACTTTTATAGCTATAGTTTTTCGAATTTATTTCTCATACGAGGTATTTGAATCATACTGTAAAGAATTGATTGAAGTATAGTTAATAACAATAACATTAACTTTATTAAACAATACCATTTTCTATTTCCTCGACCTGTTATATATTTTGGATTAAATCTATACAGATATACTGAAATATTTTATTGACGTATATCCATTTCATGAGGTGTTTTTTAGTAATCGAAGTTACTGGTTACTGAAAACTGGAATAAAGATTTAAAAAGTAAGTAACCTAACTAAATACCTAACATACCTACATAATTTTTTTAAATAACATGGCGTAAAATACTGTTATCAAAATTTCGTTAGTAATTTTCCACTACTACGAGAGGTTTGATCTACAGGAAAATTATAGAGAGATATATTATGATGAGCACAATAAGAGAAGCGTTGAGTAACAGTACTTATTTTTCGTGGTTTCCTGTAAATTTCTAGACTATATATTTTTTTATTTTAGCGTATTTTAAATAAGTTGCGACTATTTTATACTAAACACTATAACCAGAAGAGTTAGAGGACTTCTGAAAAATATACAGGAAATATAAAATCAACAATATGAATGAAAAGCCAATTTTTTTGGTCACTTGTACAGTAACTTTGCTATACGCTCACAGATGTCGTCCTTTCTGGGAATTTCACCAATCAGGTTCTTGTACAGTTTACATCTGTCTACAAAGTCCATGGTTACAGTGTTTCTTTGGGGATATATTAGTTTAGACAGTTGGCGTATCTGTATTACCATTGCCTTGTCAGCCTTTTTGGCAAAATTGAAAGTTGAAATTTTTTTTGTTGCCAGCTGTCAAGTGCTGGAATTATTTTAAGTGTATCCCTGGGTTACATGAAAATAAAAAATGGCTTCAAGGGGGTTGTATTATACCCCACCAGGTACTGATGGATCGGAACATACTTATAGACAACGGGTTGCTAGTCATTATCAAATAAGGTAAAATTATAACCTCAATTTAATGATAAACTCTTTGCCAAGATATTTGAATTAATGCCAAAGCCTTAAATTGGTAAATACCTATATATTAATTAAGAGTTGTTTCAGTGCTTTAAATAAATCGAGACTTAAATATTGTATGTTTTTCCACTACTTGCTATTTTTAGCAATGTTTGCCAAACTCTCGGCTGATATATTAGACAAATTAGATATTTTTATATTAGAAATTGAAGAACTTAGCATTCCTAAGGTAAGTCCATTCTAGAATAATGTAAAGTTGTTTCTGTGACTTATATTTTAGCCTCTTTGGTGGGAATATATATGGTGTATTAGTCTCCTTTCATCAATTTTTGGTCTGGATGCTACAAAAAAGAATAGAGTCGCTGTTATGAGAAATTATGTGGTTAGCCTAATTCTATTTGGATTCCTTCCGCTTATATATGCTATAATATATTATTTCTCAGATGTATGGATATATCTTACTGGTGATGAAGACTCAGACGAAATACATATGTGGCAGGTAAAACAGGTTTAAACAGTATCTATGTTGTAGCCAGTAGCCAGATTATAAGATCCATTGTTTCATAAAGTGCCAAGGGTTTTCTATAAAAGGTGGTCAGATTGCCTTTAGTTTTTTATATAGGTTTACGGTAAATTTTCAACGATTTCAGCAAAATATTTTTATATTATATTTTTTAATGTACTTATCTCAATATTGTAAGACCTATTTGGCCGAATTGCAAAGGTATCAGCAATGTATTTTCACCAAATTATAGGTCTTTTTGTTTAAATCATTAATATAATTGTTTTCTAAATATTAAATATATAAATAATAAAAGAATACATAAAATATGATATAATAATATATACATAAATAGGCAATAAAAAATTTCTAGGTGATAGCTACAATTTACATATCTTTTTCTAAATTTTAAAAAAGTTAAAATGTGATTACATTTATAATCAACCCATAAGTATGAGGAAAATATTTTTCTGCAGTTGTCCTGTTGCTCAACTAAAATAGTCTGGGAAAAATTTTGTTGGCAGTCATGGAAAACTTGGAAAAGTCAGTCATGATGAGTGGAAACCCTGGTATAGGTGTTTTATATAATAACGGATTTTACAATCTGCCTACGACATGTAGATTCAAATTATAAACATGTCTGCCCACAATTTATGTTTACCTCAGTCTTAACAAAATGAAATACTACTTTTATTTCTTATTTCTGATTATTACATACACACACATACCACATTAGTTAAAACAAATTGATATAAGGTTTTACTCTCATTTTAAGTAGTGTTAAACAAGTTCTGCATCCTACATGATCAGGTTGTTTTTAGCTTGCAGTAAATTAAATTTTCTTAAGTTTGTGTTTTAAACGTTATTGAAGAAAAGTCACAAGTGTATATATAGATGTCACTCTTACATGAAATAATCTCGATAAAATCCCAGTAGTCCCTAAAATATGAAGTAAATATTTGGAAGTTCCATAAATTCTTCAAAAATGCCTTAAGCTAAAGTCAATTTCCTGAAAATATACTAAAGGTCATTGGCTACTGAGTAAGAAATATGTATGTAAGTATATGGGCAATTTTAAAAATTTGGGTTGTTATACTTTGCCGCCACCAGTTACATACTAACTGCACTTTCTGAGCCTTAGTTAGGCATTTTTGATTTGCCCTTGTTATGTTTGTGGGGGGGGGGGAGTCTCCGGGGTGCTACCTACCTTTGAAATTTTCATTGTAAAAAATTTTTATTTACAATTTAGTTTACAATGTTATCTACATAATTAAATAGATTAGCCTTATGAAACACACTGGAAATGTTAAATTTGTAATATGCAGTCAATTTAACTCGAGTTGCAAAATTTGTTTGAAAAACTCTGAATGTGTGGGCTCCTCGTAGTTTGTCCCTAAATCTGTAAAGTGAAAGTGTTTACAGCAGTGGTTATGATTACCGCCGCGCAGCAGTAATAGATGAAGTGGGAGTAGCACATATTGCCTAAGCAGTTTTGTCTCTGTTTAGTCTGTCCGCAACAATATAATAGTTTTTTTTTTAATAAACGTAATTTGTTTACATGTGGTGTAAAAATTTTGTTACCTACATATTGTTCCTTATGCATTTTTTAATAGATTGTAAAAGTTTATATTAGATTGTAAGGACAGACTAACAGCACTTGCAGTTGTCTATTGAAAAATCTGTAGTGTGAGAAATACGAAATTTAACAAAAAAGTAATTGAAAAGTGTATTTTAAACAAAAACAGTAGAATGGACTTTCTCTATAAAAAATAATGTTGAGCACATTTTCCCTAATTTCAATAGTACTTAAAATAAAACAATTATATTTCAATACTTTGTACCTTAATTTTTCTGCCCTGCCTGGTATGGAAGTTAAATGTCGCCACTGGAAGCATTGTACCAGTTACAGGGGCCACTATGGAAGGTCTGAGAGGACCACCATTGTCTGGAAAGTGGTTCTGTCCGTAGCAGCCTTAGAACCTGAACAAGAAACGAAATCAACATCAGGGAGGGCTTAGGGGTTCTGATAGCTGATCTTCCCCAACCGAACCCAGCTTGAGAATAACAAGAACAGGTCTAAGATTCCTAGTCAAGGCTAAGTCTGTAACTGGCGGTGGTCAGGTACATAGGCCATGGCATAATAACTTAAAAAACCATGGCGCTTTGAATGCCTTAAATCCATAAATTTTTCTATATTCAATTAGAAAGCGCTATTGCACAGTTACTTGTATTGCACTATAAAGTTCATTCAATTTTATAGAGAAAAAACTACATAAAATAATCAAAATTACAATTCGTTTATATTTTTTATGGATTTTTTTTCATATCTTGTGAACTGTATTCTCTTTTTAGACTTTTCTGCCCTTTTAATGTATCGAGTTATTTTATCAAAAGTTAGTACATAATTACAAAGTAAAGAGCTTTGTAAGGCTGCCATTTTTATTCATGTAATTATTGTTAACTAATTATGTGATATTAAACTAATTTTTAATTTAAGTAACAAAATATATTAAACATAATATTATGAATGAAGAACAAATGGTGAAATGAAAATAGTAAGTTAATTAAATGAAGTTAGTGCAGTCAGTTTTGTTTACGTTATTTCTCAGTTCAGTTCATTTTTTTCTAAACAAGCAATGGTGATTTTGAAATATATTTTTAGTATTCGAAAAAAAAAACAGAATTTAAGAATTTACAATTAATTGAAACATAATTTGTCAACTTTTTTGCTGCAACTTATTTACTAATTGGTGTTATCAGAGGCACCCCATGGATCTAGAAATAGGGAGGTCAAATAGTTAACACCTCAAATGATTTGTATAATAAATTTGAAAAAAAATTGATCCTCTAATCCTTTTGAGATTTTGAATAAATTACCATGCCGAATTGTAAGCAGACGTCAGCCGTTTGCTAGATGCCGGCTATTTCTGTCAGTACCTTTTTTAATCAAACAATTAAAAGTTAATAGAAGAAAATTTATTTAATGCAAAAAATTCCTGACGCAATCATTATTATTATTATTTTTCAATTCGCCCAAAAAATTATTTAATATCAGTTTAATTTCAATCAAATTCTAATAATGTCATATTAGTCTAATTTGCAATTAAAAATTCAGATGATATTCTAGTTACCTATATTAAGTTTTGAAAGGATGTAGCCGATTAAGCATATATATACTGGACCAGCGTCTAATGAAGATTTCTTACCTTGTATTTATTGTTCTTCATCTAAAACATCTTAACACTTAATTTCAGACTACCCCCGTTACTTAGGGAATAATGGGGGTGGCAACCCTTTACATTAAATTTAATTTTTTTTTAAACTACTCGAGATATCATGGTGTGGTTGAAACTATTTATAAATATCTATGAATTACATATTAGAATTCAGAATTTTTGCTCCATTAAAAACGGTAGAAAACAAAAATTTTAATTTTGGGGAGTGATTTTTTATACCAACCCCCGAAGGGGCACCTACCAAAAAAATTCAGTTTATTCGTTTATTAGTTAGCTATTATATATAAAAATTACAGAAGAGTCAAATTGTTGTTGTCGTGACATGTTAAACAATGCTTTAATTGGGCCGTCTATTAAAATGAAGTTTAAATAAAATATCATACCTCTGTCTTTCTCCTTTTCTTTGCTAATAGGAAGACAGAGAGGGGTTGCTTAAATAAGTTTTCTATAATAACAACTTCCATAGTTTAGTCACAAGTTGATTCCCAGGGCGTACAGTTTGAATAAAATTTTTAAAATCGAATAAAAATAAGAAGTTTTTAACGAAATTACTTAGACGGTTCATATTAATTTTCATTGTAGAATGAATATTCAGTGATAAAATGCTACACTTTTTTTTAATTCCTGTGTACAAAGTACAGTGGTGGGAACGTTGTACTGGATCTATCCTTTGAAAGAGAAACCGGAGATCGGCGTGCTATAACTATTATTGAAAATAAGCTGTATTTGATCTTTGTTGTACCTTTTATATTTTACAAAATGGGAATAGAACCGACTTCAATTTTTTAATTGAAGTATTGCACTAAATTATATAATAAATTTCTACTCTTTACTGAAAAAATATATATTCATAGCTACAATTTTTCCTACATTAGTTTGGATCTGCACTGCCGTCACTGATGAGCCGCCACTATCATTGACTAAATGACTTTATATATGTATAAACACTGATTTCGACTAAGTCTTCCCTAGAATACTAAAATTAATATACTTACTTAATTTTAACTAAAATATAACATTTCAACTTTCAGAACAAACTCCTCAATTTTAGGGTTCTGTATACGCCATCGTCTGACACTAATTTTATAAATGAACATATTAACAGTGTTAAATCTCTATTACAAATAATCACTCGTACTTCCTTCTCTCTTCTTTTTTTTTATATTTTTAACAGTTCAATAATTTTTTATGTCACTTTTTCTTTTATTTTATTTTCAACTACTTCCTAGCAACATCTATCTTCTTTTTTCTATACATATATGATATAACAATAGTAAATATGAAAATATCAATATTGTTCTCAACAAACAGAACATGTAGATAAGTTTAAATAGTAATGTATCAATAATTAGATGAATTATGTAGACAAATATAGGTCCATTACTTATATTGGCAATATGAAATAGAACAGAAATGTTCATGTTTTCATTTATACTACTTTGCTGCTGTGGCTGAGATGTGTAAAATAAAAATAACAAAACTTTTATCAGAACTGGTAGTTTCAAAAAGCATTATAAAACAAATATAAGTTTTATCTTCAGGCTCGGTCATAATTAAGTTACTCAATTTTTCTATTACGTTTGTAAAAATAAATATATTTTTTTCAGAAATTATTATTTTAATAATCGAGTATATTTTTAGGGATATCCATATGGAATGCTGTGGTATGCATTTATATTATTAGCACTACAAGTCCATTCTTTTTCCTTGTATTTCGCATGGAAGCTGATAACTGTGTGGAAAATGAAATATGGCACAAAAAAGATTGATTGAAAACAGAATAATAACATAATTTTGAAATTATGGTTTGTGCTAAAAGACAAATTGCTCATAGTTTGTTTATAATTTAACTATGTGTTCATTAATTATTTAAATAGTTTAAGTGTATATACATGAAAAAATTTGATTGTTTTTTTTCAAGAATATATGACTTTTTTACTTTGCTGTTGCAATATGAAAAATATACAAATGTTATAATAATTGTAAATCTATATTATATTATACATAAAAGGTTCTGTAAATAAAATTTGGATATATTGTGGAAAATATTTTAAATAAATGTATTTTTAAAAGAATGATTACTTAGTTATGTTTATTACCAAATTAATATAGGGAGGTACGCTTTAATGAAAATTGATGGTAAAAACAGGTCAGTATGTATTTCACGAAAGTTAATTGAAGTTATTTATGAAAAACAGTTTCCTGCAATATCAGTTAAAAAATTATTTCATGTAGTTGGGGAGAGACGTCGTTCATAGTATCTACCAAAATGCAGGTCCCTCATTGCCAGTGTGGCCATATTGAAGATCTAGGCATCGAGTAGCAGTGACTATTCATAGATGTAGCACTTTGCTACGTCTCGAGCATGTATAAATGATTTGAAAATAGGTTTATGTGAAATGATTCTCATTCTTATTCTTCTTCCAGCACCTAGAATGATTTTACTATGGTGAATCTATTGTATTAAATGCTTTAAAATATTTAAACACCTAGTAGAACTTCTACTTCTATCATTTGTTTTTTTTTATAAGAATTAAAGGTTTCAAGATGTTTTGAAAAAAAGTTTCATAAATTTAGTGCTTAAAATAACTAAAAAAGATTTTATTGAGAGATTGAGTATTAAATATTTGTTTCTGGAAATTCAGAAGGCGCCAGTTGGTGGTGACGATGATAGATTAAAGAAACGTATAAAACTATCATCATAGTCCGCCAAAGATTCTAACTACCACTACTATTACTATTCATACTACAAGTTGACAAAATAACAAAATATTTTCTTTACTCCAAAGGCTTTATCTCTTCATTTAAGTTACTAGATATTGCTATCTATTTTCTGCAAAAATTTCGAGACGAAATCTGAAAATCTAACAGTTTTACCGTATTGTAGACAAGACAACGTGGCTATTATTATAAGTAGCTGTTTTGTCTTGCAATTGCAAGTGCTTTCTAGCTAGAACTTCCTTTAGATTTAGTGGCGGCTCCTGACATTGTGAATAGGTGAGACCCGTGGTTTTTTAGTAGGTGGGCAAGAAAGAAAAAAAACAGCGCCGCAGGCAAAAATTTTTAAATTTTAAATGCATCTGGAAATAGACCTTTTTAGCCTTTTTAGTAGTGACGTCACATACGCCAAATAATAGGCAACCCCACAAAACACATTGTCAAGAAGAATTTCTCAATATTTTTACTAGACCGATTTTCGACCTTATGTACTTTGGGCACAAGTGCCAAAAAAATGGCTTCTTTGTCATGACCTTAAATATCGCGATATTATGGCAATATTAGAAATATTTAAGAAGTTTCAAACTCCAAATGACAAACCAATAGAATTATAGAATTTATATATTTATAGAACAATATTGACTTTTATAGTAATTAATAAATTAAAATTATATCAATGTTACTGAGCATGCACATTAAAGATAATTTCATGTAAGCGAAGTAGCCTCGCAACAGGGTATCATTCAAGATAATAAACCACTTGAAGAAAAAAAACACTGGATAAACACACTGGCACAGTACAACACCAAGAAAAACAATAAAAATACTTAGTAGAACTAGAAAATGCCAAGATTAAACAAAACAATGATGACAGCCATAACATATCAATAATATCTCACCTGCGTATGAGAATATTCTTTAAGAGCATGAACATTAGGAATAACTAACACGGCTAATGTTAAGTTTTTACTTTATTTAAATTTAGGAATATTCTTTTATATTGTTTTTTTGTAAGTTTTAAGCACATTAGTGTTTTTATTTTATCAAACACGTGTTGGTTGTTCTTAAATACTTCTAAGTTCTTGTAAAAATAAATTAATTTGAAGTTGATTATTTTTATAGTATCTATGTAAATAGTACACAAGGGTCACATTTGGTTTGATTTTGTACAATTTTAACTATGAAAATTTGTTGCGGGTTGCCTAAATATGTGACGTCACAGTAAAAGAGTCTATTTATAGTTACATATACAATATTATAGAGAAACTGATGTTGACGAGCAGGATTTTCATTCAGATTTTATTAAAAATAATACGCAACTATTTGGTTATTTTATTTTTTATTAACACGTTGACTGCGAGATAATGTCAATGGCATTTGTCCGTGACTGCGATACATATCTTCGGGGATATGTAACAAAACTTCTTCTGTGTGCGGTACATATCCCTGGGGATATGTATTTTTTTACATTTGACCCTATAAAATTAAAAATAACACAATTATTGCTATAAACTTGCATGTATCTGTAACTATATATATCCTAGGATACCTACTAACGTTTTCATCCGCAAAGAGTTTTGAAAAGAAAATAATAGAAAAATCATTATTTCTAAAAATTACAGATTTTGCAACTTCCTCAAGATACAGTAAAAATGTGATTATTGAGATTCGCATATTTTTTATAATGAGTATATACCCCCCGAGGTATGTACCGCAGTCAACGTGTTAATCCGCTTTCTAATAATAAATAGGAATAAATTCCCACGTCATTTTTTATTATGGAGGTCTTCACAAATAGCCCTATTATAACCGTAAATTAAAAAATTATATTATTATTATGTTATTACAATACAACACAATGACAATTTTTTTACTATGAAAATTTCTAGGGAGGGCGGCGGTCCAGTCACCACTGTGTATTTCTCACTTCTCAGAACCTTTGACTATATACACTAAGACTATCAGTCCTTAATAAACACTGAAATAGTTGCCAAAACTTCTGTTAGATGTCGCACTATATGGCATTCTGCATTTATTCAAACGAAGGAAATAAAGCGCGACTACGTCAGTCTGCAAAAAACGGCGAAGGCGTTTCAAGGGCGTGACTTCTCGCATTTCGCATGCCCTACCAAGATTGGAGATATATTCTGTTTGTCGAAATTATCGTTCAAATTAAAATATAATTTACTAATATAATATTCTATCATGTGTAGTTACTTAATATAAATAAATAAATAAAATCATAAGACTATAGAATATTAAAATATAAATATAATTTTCAACAATATGCCAATATTTCCGGTTTCTATTTATGCTTATCTTTAAAGATGTTAAGGTCATTTATATGAATTATATTCAAGGTGTTTTGCGAGTACGTGTATATACTGTAGGGATTTTAAGGGGACAGAAAACGTCGAGGTGATTCCAAAACACCTCCATATGTAGGTACTCTTTGATGTAATTTGTTAGTGGTATACAGGGCATTTTCTAATTTTTGCCAATTTTTTTTGTCGCCATATTTTTAACCGTTTCATAAACCGAGATAAGATTTTGTACACATTTTGGTGGTAGTCAGGTGCACATGCCATGACATATATTTTCTTCAATAAATGGTCAAACTAAAAAAAATATGTATGCAGTTTTGTTCAGTTATTAAAATAAAATATATAAATAAATCTCAAAAATAAATAACGAATAGGTACATAGGTACATTACTAACAAAAAATAAGCAATAACTTCTTTGGGCACATTAATAGTATTAATTTAGGAATATATTATTTTTATACGACAACAAAATTCTTTACAAAGCCGGGAAAAAGTTCTCTTAATTTATTTTATTATACTTATAATTTATTTTTATTATAATTAACTTGTGTGCATAACCAAGTGGCTAAGCTACTTATTTTCATCGAATAAAAATTAATAAGAGGTTTTCCTAGATAATCTAAACGAGAAAATAAAACAACAAAAGAAAATAAATAAAACAAGATTAATAAAAAAATGTATATTTGTCTGTTAATAATACGTACTTCCATAATACACAGGGTGAGTCAACATTAGGTTAAAGTAGATCCGAAGTTTATCAAAAAAATATTTCTACAAAAGTATTGAGGATAAGACATGGTTAACAAAAGTTGTTAGTTTTGGAAAGATCTAAAGAAATATTGAAAAGTATACAGGATGTGCCAATTAATAGAAATATATTTTTTAATTTAAATTTCTTCAAATTTGTCACTATTTTACGAATGATTTTCGCAAGTGGTCTTTATAGTAATATATGCTACCAAACATATTCTTTTAATATTTAAAAATAACAAAGAAAAAATGACAACAATTAAATACAGGTACAAAAATGGACTGTTTTTTATTTGATCCCAAATACAACTTAAAAAACTATTGAGTTTAGATGTAGTGAAACCTTATATGAAAATGATTAGAATTGAACGTAGAATGCAAACATAGTAATATATCTAATTTAATATATCTAACTGGTTGTCTTAATGATTTAATCTTCTTTTCTTGTAGTTTACATTTCGTATTTAAACTACTTGAAGGACGATTGAAACTTCCAGATCTGGCAAATTAGTTAGATCTTCCAAATATTTCCTTAATTTAGGACTTTCACGAGGAGGAGAGGAATGGAAATTTAATTTTCTTCCATGCACTACTGCAGAAGATAGTTTTGTAGGTTTTTCTTGGAGTTAAAACCTTTAATTCTTGATCATGGCTGCTAGATGGCACATCTAGATAACTTATAGGAATAGTCGTTTTTTTTCAATTTAATTTTCTTCTCTGAAGCATAAGCGTTTTCCTCAAAGTGATCAGAACACAAACATTTATTTCTCAGTTCCTCTCTATCAAAAAGCTCCAGAGATGCATTGCCTAGAAAATAAATTTATAAGTATATGTATAATTGTACAGGGTGATTCACTATATTTTGACTCCTCCATTAACTTCTTTGTTTTAAGAGTTAAAAAAATATTAAAAAATAAATAAATAAATGTGAAATACAAAAGTGGCACGATTTTTTATGAAGTTTTCGAAAATGATAGTAGAAAAACAAATGAAGTCGAAACAAAATGGTCGGGGATGTTAACTTTGTTAATTTAAATGGAATACCCTGTATATTTTTACATATTTGGATAGGTTTGTTGGGTCCATTTCTAACAATAAGTGAGATAATATTAAAAAACGAAAAGAAGTTTTTTTATTAAATAAATAAGACATCTTGTAATTGTTAGACCTCTTTCAGGCATTTCTACCTTTTTTCCAATTACGTAAGGATTTACAGATTTGGATATTTTGTTATATCGGACATGGATAAGTAAGGTTCAAAATGCGTATAAGTATTTTAACTAAATATCACTAATTAGGCCGTGAGAGGCCTATTTACTCGTGGTCAATGTTATATGGTAGGCCATGACAGTGACAGGTGATGTTATGACAACCGCATTGCTATTGTTTGACAGTTTGTATTATTATTTAATTAAAATGGGTTACACAGAAGTAGAAAATTGAAAAATTATGGTAATTAAAATAAAGTAAGTTATTCTCCATACTCTAATTCCTAATAATATTTAAATTTTCTACTTCTTTGACAACCCACTTTTATTAAATAATAATACAAACTGTCAATCAATAACAATGTTATCATGACATTACTACCTTTCATTGTCACGACCTACCATATAACATTGTCCATGAGTAATTAGGCCTCATACGATCCAATTAGTGAGATTTAGTTAAAATACTTATACGCATTTTGGACCGTATCGATGTCAGATATGTCAAAATATATTACAAATCCTTACGTAATTGGAATAAAGGCAGAAATGCCTGAAACAGGTCTAACAATTACAAGATGTCTTATTTTCTTAATAAAAAAACATTCTTTTCGTTTTTTAATATTATTACGCTTATTGTGAGAGATGGACCCAACAAACCCTATATGACTGTACTCGACAAGGAACGTTCTATCCAAATATGTAAAAATATACAGGGTGTTCAATTTAAATTAACAAAGTTAACATCCGCGGCCATTTTGTTTGGACTTCATTTATTTTTCTGCTAATAATTTCGAAAACTTCATAAAAAATCGTGCAACTTTTGTATTTTTTTATAACTCTTATAACAAAAAAGATAAATGGGGGTCAAAATATAGTGAATCATCCTGTACACGTAATAAATTGTTATTTATATATGTATATAGGTATCTACAGGTTGTTTCTATTAAAACCCGACAGGTTGATATTTCGAATAAACAAAATTTGGAAAATTAAGAAAACAGTAAGTAAGTAAACGAATACGTTTGTCCAGAAATTTTTCTGTAAATATCATTTGTGGTTTTCATGTTTCTTTTATAATTATGTAGTCATTTTTATATGTAGGTAGAGTTTTTGGATACTCTGTAGATAGGATTTTATATACTTTTAAACTTGCCTAATTTCCTGCTACAAATTTTTCTTTTCCTCAGTAGCTGTTTCTATCTTTTACTATTGTCTACTTATACTCAACGCATGACGAAAATTACTTTTGGTAATGCAGTTTTGTGTATGAGACCATAAGTGACCGTGGAATATAAAAAATTAAGTAAAACATTACTAATTAGAATTTATCTGAATTTCTTTAGTAACGAGACTCGCTGTGTATTTTTTTAAATGTATTGAACTGAAAAATTAAAATGTATTGTGTAAAAATCTTAATATAACTTGTTACCAAAGAAAATTATCTGATAAATTCCAAATTGCAATATGTTGTTTTATTTAATTTTTCATATTTTATGGTACCTATACACATAAAATTTGCATTACTAAAATTAATTTATTTTTGTCGTGCATTAGGTATTTTTTGTTACGAATAAATTTTTTTGAAAACCAAAATTCGAAAAAAGAATTCACAATAACAGGAAAGTGCTACTTCCACCTACTAAAAGAAGCTGTTGCTATTCTAGTAAAATATTTTACTTTCTACTGGCAAGAACTTTCGTGTTAAAGTATGTTCCTACAACAGTAAATTAAGTTCTAGAAATGAAATAGTTTTATTTTGCAGTAGTATGGTATTCTGCTGATATAGCTATAAGCTCTTTACAGCCACAAGAAAGTACTTTCCTGTGAGAGTAAAGTTACAGAAGTATAATAGTAAAGAGGTTTTTATAAAGTAATTCTGCTCCTACAACTAAGGTTAGAATAATAAAGTGAGTTCCCTATTAATAGTAAACAACTTTGCTGGTACCTATTTTTCCAAATTTTTTGGCTGTGGCTATGAAAAAAAATTCTCAGTGCGATTGAATGGAAATAGATATTTATTTAGTAACATTACTATTGCGTTATGTATTTTTTGAGTTATTTTAAATAATTACTTACATAACTTTAAGATTTTGAAAATACTTATGTAGATACCTATTTTAAAATTTATCACAGTATGTATTATAGTTGCGGCAAGATTTTACAGAACAAATTCAATTCATTCAAAATATTTAAGAAACTACAACTGAGAATAATAAAACTAAGTATTTACACTAAATTACAGTACAAAAATGTAAAAATTGTATTGTCTTCATCTCGACAAACTGTTGAAAATTATGTTGACAACTAAGAATAATAAAACTAGGTATAGGTAGGTACCTATATTAGGTATACGAAATGTCTACCCTAGGTATATATTACACTAAATCACAAAAAAGAAGGTTAATAAAAACATCTGCGTTACGTCACCCGTGACGCAATACCATTTCAATTCGTGCCGCAACTATATACAAATAATTAGATATTATATAATTTATATTTAAGTACCTAACTACTTACCAGAATTCAAAATCCATTGTTTTAGTCGATTTTCGTCAAGTGGAAAACGAAAAAGTCTTATTTCTGCGCTGTTTCTCCTGGTTTTATTACAATTCAGGTATTCACACTTATCTCCTCCCTGCCTATATACACTAATGTTCAAGTCTTTATAAAATAATAATAAAATAAATATTCCAAATAAATAACACACTACCACACTATTCACAAAAATATCTCACTCGCATAACATTTAGTAGATAGACTACTGATCATTGATTATTATTTTAGGATTAAGGGTTGTAAATTCCTTTCTTAAACTATAATTAATATATAATATACAAGAACCAATCATCTTTAATGGGTGGAGCTTAGATCCTATATCAAATTTGGCTATGCAAATTGAACACTATCGGCACTTAAAATTGCGCCATCTATTACCGAATGGTCCAAGCGCACATGTCCTTTTTGAGTTCGTTTCCCATCGGGCGAGAGTTGGTTTCCCAAACCGGGCAACAAGTTCTCCTATTAGCTTGATACGTCTGAGTGTATATAGTCAAGGTCAGAACCCATCACAATTTTTAAGGACTGAGAAAAGCAAACTGTAATTGTTTCTACCACCCATTGCTACAGCCGTATCAACTGTTTGAATATTGGCAGTTTTATTTGAATACATTTTGGTAAATATATCTCCATTATTTATCAACTCATTTTGAAAAAATGTTGTTTTTATTGTATTCAGTATAAAGAAGCAATAAATTATGGTATCACAGGGTACTTTGCTATTTAAATTTTTAATGTTGCGGCTGTTAGAGCATGGGGGTTGAAGGGTGGGGTTGAAATTTACATCTCTAAAAGCTGATTTAAAAAGAAATATCGACTGTTCGAGCACTTTTTAAAATATTTTTATCAATGATAGAATGTATCCTTTACTTTCGGCAAGCACTATACAATGATGACGAATGAAGCTGAACGCTGTTTGTCTACTCTGAAACAGATACAAAATTTTCTTAGGAATTCCATGGGCCAAGAATGTCCAACGATGCTGTCTTTAGAGAAACAATTTATATATAAAATTTTTAAGAAATAATAATCTTTGAACTTTCGAGTGTCGTGTGTCCTAGTGACAGACACTTTTAAAATCACGTCTAGTTAATTTATAACATTTTAGTTATTCGCAAATAAATATATAAAATAGCAACTAGCCACTAACGCTAAACCTCATTTAGGTTATGATTGATGATAAATAAAAATAATTGTATATCGATATATGTATATGCTGCTAGTAAAAAAAATGAGATTTACTTTACTTTACCAGAGGATTGAAAACTTATATAATTAATTGGCAAAAATACTTTTTTCTCGGGCTTTTTCCAAATTTTGTAAATGCCAGTTTGGCAAATATAGATACCTACTCACGTGGTTGCCTTTGTGCACATCATTCGATATTATGCAGAATGGGGTCTTTCAGTAAATTTTCAAAAACGTTCTTATTTTGTATACTTATACAAAGTACATGATTAGGCGATCCTGAAAATTTCAACTCAATCCATTGACTGGTTTTCATAATATATAATTTTTAAAATGCGAATATTTATTATTTATAGCTTGGCGCACGTATGCTAGGTACTTTCAGATGTAGTTTCTGCATCTGCAGGCTATAGAATATAGAACCGTTGCAGTACCTACCACACAGATGTTTAGCGATTGCCATATTCAATTTAAAAAATGGAAATAAAATTTCCTAAAAGCGGATTCTTCTAATTTGCCAGAAGTAGGTTTGTTAATGGTTATGGATTTTTTTAATAAAAACCACGACACATCAGTGCTGAGATGACTTCTATAAAATACGTTTGTAGCGAAAATTTTAATGCTTTTGTAGAATAAGAATAGTAAATAAGGATTTTGCGTTTAATTGGACGAAACCGTTTCTGTCACAGGTTTCAAAGATTTACCTAATCAAATGCAAAATTCTTATTATTATTTTTATTCCCATGGAAACTACATAAATCTACCTAATATCTTATAAATATATTAATAATATAATATGTTATTTATTATGTATTTTTATATACATAAAGCTTAGTTACGTATAGGTATTTGTATAGTATTAAAAAAAAATCAACAATTAAAAAACACTAACAGAAGTGTAGTGTTTCTAGAGAATACAAACGTAGGTACCTATTTATTACTTACTTAAATTATGCAGGGTAGTTTTTTGCTAAAACTCGCTCAAAATAAGTCATTTTTAAAATAAAAGATAACAACAAATCAAAGTAGAGATTAATTGATTTTAGATCCGCACGACAGAATTACAGAGATAATGACATATGTCGTATTCCACCCTTCGAGCGAGCTTCAGGATTTCAGAACACCCAGTATATTCATAGAAGTAGTCTTGTACTTACGGATATGCCGGAGACCGCTGAATTGGAAAGGAGGCGAAACAATAATATTCACTTACCTTTCCAATCCAAACCAAAAACCCGCCACGGTTGCAAATTCAATCGCCGTCGGCCGGGCAAAATGAAAAAGCCTCTATGAGAGTCTTCAAACATCGATCCCCTCGGCGGTAGCGCTTCTAGAGTGCTAAAGACCAATTTCACCGATGTTTCCAATGTCACCCGCATCGCGACCGATCTCGCCTGGGTCTGCCATCCCGGCGCGCAGTGTCCACTGCCGCTACTCTCGCGACCTGCAGTCGAACCCCGGGACGCTTCAAGGCGATATTTGGAAACAGTCAGAAATTTCACCACTCTTTCGAAATGGTCAAGGACGCTATCGCCAATAACTCCAAAAGTTATTGAGCGATCGGTGTCAAAATTTAATGCAGCACTCCTCAAGTCGCTAGCATTATCTTACTAAGTTTTCGTCCGAATCGGATGAGCCAAAACGCCGTTATACGGGGAAACGCGGATTTCACGTTTTCCGCGTTTTCAGCCGTTCCGCTCATTCGATCTCGGCCGAACCCTCCAACCACACTAGAGTATCGCTAGGTGGTTGTCATATCCAAATTCGAACCGAATCGCCCGACTACTAACGGCCAGCTAAGCCATAATAGGTTTTCACGCCTTTAGAGCTGCCGCCGAAAGTATCCGCGCGATCTCGGTCGAACCCTCCAACCACGGCACTATGTCATGCCGTGTATCAACAGACAAAATTTCAAATGAATCCATCAAGAAATAAGACCTCCGTAAGCCCTTTTACGAAGACGGGGAAAAT